TTTTGGGGATGGTCCACCTCTGGCTCTCAGCTCTGGATCTGTCCCTGTGGCCAGGCTGGGTCTGCTTTCCGTTAGAGGTAGGATGCATCGTTTTCTAGTTTTACCTACAACAGGGAGGTGCTTATGGGGTGATCACTTTATGGGGTTTTTTCTTCTGTGTGAATTTTGGTGGGTATATATTTTTTAAATTTTTATTTCATGTTTAAATGACAAAAGTATGTATTGTGATAATGTTGAATACGAAATATTGCAGGGTGCATGTGAAAATACATCGCATCACTTCCATGCTATGTTTTTGTGGTGACACCACTTAAAATCTCTCTTGGCGATTTAACCTACAAAATTGTTTATAACTTGTTGCCTGTTACCCAATATCTTGATTTTTCTTAGTCTAACTGGATTTTGATATCCTAACCACTATTATACTTCTGTGAGTTGCTTCTATTTTCTTTTTTTTTTGGTCTCCTTGTGCCTGGTGGAGTGCTGATATGTACTACAGCAACTCAATTTTGGCTCAGCGTCTCTGCCGACCTCCAAGTGGCTGGACTACGGTGTGCCTGCCAACACTCGGGGCTAATTTTTGGGGTTTTTTTTTTAGAACGGTTTTGTTCTTGCTCAGGCTTGTCTCCTGACCTCAAGCAATCTCTTTGCTCGGCCTCAAGTCTAGGTTACATGGCTGAGCCTGGTACGGTCGCTTTGTGTTATATCGTGATTGAGTTGTTTCTTGATGGTTCCCTACACAAGTGCCTCGGTTCATCCTGTCGTAGGCCATGGTTTGCACGTGCCACGTGTTCTTTATCCGTTCATTCGCCGCTGGCCCCCCGGGTGGGTTCCGTGTCTCGGCCGCCGTGAGCCGTGCCGCGCGGCGTGGGAGTCAGGCGTCTCCTCGTCACGCCGAGTTCATTCCCTTTGGATGTGCACCAGAAGCAGGATTGCTGGATCTGCTGAGATTATGGGGTTTTTTTCCCCAAAGTGTACAACTTACATTACAAACATGTTTTTTATATTATAAAAGCTGGGGAAAAAAAAAAAAGCGTTTCTGAGAAAGGAGAGGCCTTTCTTACACTCGAGGTTTGCCAGCGCTGTGAGTTTGCTGCCGGGGGGGTGCTGGCATCAGCCCACGGCCTTCCCCATGCCCGTACCAGATTATGTCGCATCGTTGCGGACACCCGGGTCCCGCTTCCTCTCTCCTGTCCACCCCGGACCCCACGTGATCCCCAGGGCACACCAGCCACCCTTGTGCTTGGAGACCGTGTGCGCCCCCGGCCAGCCCGCCGAGCAGGAACACAATAGCACCCCTGGCTGCGAGCGCCAGGCCAGCATTTCCTCCTCGGATGTATAATAGCACCGACCGGATATTTTTAGATGAGCTTTGAAAAGTCTCAGTGTGCTGAGACCGCATACCAGACGTGTGAGGTCACACCGGGCCTGGGAGCAGCCTCCGTGCATGGGTAATTGGTTGGTGCTGGTAATCGCAGAACCAGAAAGCCAGCCCTCAGGCGGCCGGCCGCAGTGGCGGGAAGGACACCTCCAAAGGCGCCAGGGCCCCTCACGGCCCAAAGACATTCCCTTTTGTGTGTCCCCGGGACACCAGGCCTGACTGTCATGTTTATAAGTCCCTGCAGACTTGTTTCCTGAGTTTGAAAGCGAGTGCTAGGTGGGGTGCACTGGCTCACGCCTGTAGTGCTAGCACTCTTGAGAGGCAGAAGGATCGCTTGAGGCCAGGAGTTCGAGACCAGCCTGAGTAAGAGCAAGACCCCGTCGATACAAAAAAGAGAAAAAAATCAGCTGGGCGTGGTGGTGCCTGTGGTCCCAGCTACTCGGGAGGCTGAGGCAGGGGGATCCCTTGAGCCCAGGAGTTGGAGGCTGCAGTGAGCTAAGATGATGCCATGGCACTCTAGCCTAGGCAACAGAGTGAGACCCTGTCTTTAAAAAAAGTGCTGTGGCTCTTTGGGGTGTGAACGCCCATTTCTGGAGCAGGCTCTGGATCGGGGCCCTGCTGCGACCCTGGCTCAGAGAGAAGTCTGTTCGTCTCCCACTGCAGACACCCCAGTGCCACCGTCGGGGAGCCCCACCCGGGTCCAGGCATCCTTTCGCCATCTGCTCAGAGTTAGCCCAGGCAGGGAGGGCTTCACACGCCCCTGCCTGGGGGTTGGTTTAGGTCTGCTCCCAGCCCCTCCGAGTTGAGGCTGGTGGAGAGCAAGCCGTGGGGCCTGGCGGTGGGGCCACACGGGCCGGCCAGGCAGCGCGCCGTGTCGAGTTGGGCACGGAGCAGGGCAGAGCGTGCGGGGACCTAGACTGAGGCTTGTTTTTTTGCGGGAGCTCCAACCGAGGCTCTGCAGGGTCCCCTAAACGTGCAAGGAGGTGAGGGGACAGCGATTTGAGAGTCCATAGGTTTTTACCTCAAAGAAAAACATCAATTTGGCCGGGCACGGTGGCTCACGCCTGTTGTCCCAGCTACTTGGGAGGCTGGGACAGGAGGATCGCTTGAGCCCAGGAGTTGGAGGTTGCTGTGAGCGAGGCTGACGCCACGGCACTCACTCTAGCCTGGGCAACAGAGTGGGACTCTGTCTCAAAAGGAAAGAAAAGAAAAACTCCAGTCTGTGGCTGCACTTTGGGGACTGGAGATTAAACCCAGAGAGACAGCTTTCTTTACCAAAGGGTTCCTCGGCGTCCAGAGGGCAGTGCTCGGGGGAGCCCTCACAAAGGGGCGAAGGGCCCAGCGAGCCCCACGCCACCCTGCCCTGCCACTCGCTGGCTGCCGTCTATACATCAGTGCCTCCCACCCAGGGCAATCTGGCGATCCCTGGGGACACTTTCTGATCGTCCCAGATGCCACTGGCATCTGGTGGGTGGCGGCCAGGGGTGCCGCTCCGCACACACTGCGGTGCACAGGACACCCCGTGACACGGAGCGGCCCAGCCCTGAAAGTCCTGTGGACGCTCGGGAGAGCAGATGTCACCAAGCAGGGTGTGTGCGGCACCCAGCCTCTAGCCGAGGACCAGTCCCTGGAGGTTCTCCGTGGCCGACCAGCCCCCAGGTTTAATCAGCCCCTCCAGAGACTTTTCCAAAAGTCAGCAGGTCGAGGCCAGGCGCGGTGGCTCACACCCGTAGTCCCAGCACTTTGGGAGGCTGAGGTGGGAGGATCGCTTGAGGTCAGGAATTCAAGGCTGCAGTGAGCTGTGATCATGCTACTTCACTCCAGTCTGGGTGGCAGAGCGAGACCCTGTCCCCCCCCAAAAAAAAAAAATAAGAAAAGACTCAGCAGGTCAACAAAGCCCCTGTGGAGATGCGTCGCCGAGCGCCCAGCTGCTGCCCCTCCCTGCACAGCCCCCCCCCTTCTCTGCAAGGGCCGGGTCACCTCTCTGGGCCCCCTTTCCCACTTTCTGCTTACCGACCTGGCCCAAGTGTGACTCGAGCCCCTTCCGTTGACTTGTCCCATGAGCTGATTAGCCGATCCCACCAGGAGCGTGACCCACACGTGGGTCCAAACACGGCCGCCGTCCGGCTCCACTCTCTGCCCAAGGCCTCGTGCCTGTGAACCCCGTCCTCCACGGGGGCACCTGGGCCTTCCGCGGTCACACGCTCTTCCGTGGGGCTTCCCCCTTTCGGCTGCCTCCCAGAAGCTTCCCGTCCTGATCCGCTGGGGCTGCCGCCATGGCACGCGGTCCCGGTCACTCGGCGGCAGGGACATGTGCTGAGAAATGCGTCGCCGGGTGATTTCATCGTCGTGTGAGCGTGGCAGCGCGCACCCACACAGGCCTACGCGGCAGAGCCTCCTGCGTGCCCGGCGCATGGCGCAGCCTGCCGCTCCCGGGCTGTAAACCCACGTGGCGTGTTGTTGTCCTGGTGCGGTTGTAACACGGTGCTAAGTGGTGAGTATTTGTGGATCTCAGCACAGGGAAGGTGTGCTAAAGATACGGCATTGTGATCTTTCTGTATTTTTTTGTTTAAGAGACAGGGTCTCCATCTGTTGCCCGGGCTGGAGTGCGTGGGCATGATCACAGCTCACTGCAGCCTCGAACTCCTGGGCTCAACAAATCCTCCTGCCTCAGCCTCCTGGGTAGCTGGGACTACAGGCACCACCACACCCAGCTAATTTTCGTATTTATTGTAGAGACCGGGGTCTCGTGTTGCCCAGGCTGGTCTCAAACTCCTGGGCTCAATCAGTCTTCCTGCCTCAGCCTCCCAAAGTGCTGGGATTGTAGACGTGAAACACCTACAGCCAGCACAGCCCGGTATTGTAATCTTAGGGACCACTGCTACATGTTGCAGTGCGTCCTTGACCGAAACCCTATCATGTGGCACATAACTGTAGCGCATAAACTGGGTGGCTGAAACAACAGGAGCGTATTTCTCACAGTTCTGAAGGGTGGGAAGTGGCAGATTCGGGGTCCTGCAATGGCCCACTTCCTTGTATATAGATGACGTTTTATTCCCTGTGTCCTCACACGGTGGCAGGAGGGAGGGTGCTCTCTGTGGTCTGTCTTATAAGGGCATTGGGACAGACATGGCGGTGGACGCCTGTAATCCCAGCACTTTGGGAGGCCAAGGCGGCAGGATCACTTGAGTTCAAGAGTAGCCTGAGCAACATAGTGAGACCCCATCTCTACAAAAACATTTAAAACGTTAGGCGTGGTGGCGCACCCCTGTAGGCCCAGCTACTGAGGAGGCTGAGGCAGGAGGATCACTCAAGCACAGGAGTCTGAGGCTACGGTGAGCTGTGATTGTGCCGCTGCACTCTACCCAGAGCGAGAGATAGACTGAGACCCTGTCTCAAAAAAAAAAAAAGGTAAAATATTGGCATGTCCTTGGCTGCACACCTCTGTATTTTCCAGCTTTTATCTGGGTTTCTGAGTGACTGGAAGATGCAGAGTTATGCAGCCGAGGTACTTTCCGATACTTTATTCTTTTTTTTTAAAGAGCCTGGAGGCTCCAGGTCGAGTCCTGTGGAAATTCCATCCTGATGATCTGAAAACCTGTTTTTGTTCTCCTGGCAGGCTTTCGGGAACGCCAAGACAGCTCACAACAACAACTCCAGCCGATTCGGGAAGTTCATCCAGGTCAACTACCTGGAGAGCGGCATCGTGCGAGGGTGAGTGGCACCCCGGGGGCCGTGGGTGGGAGCTGCCCCTCACCCCCGTGCCGCCACTTCCTGACACACACTCACGGGAGCGAGGTGCAGAAATCACGGCCGTGCAGACACGTGAGCCTCATGCAGGCCAGTGAGTGTGATTTTAAGTCTTCGAGGCGAAGGTCAGAACGGGGTCGAGGTCAGAAAAGTGGGCGGGGGCGGGGTGCGGAGCAGGTGCAGCCAGCTGCAGGCGCTAGCGCGGCGGGTTTAGCAAGGACGGCCCGGCCGGTCTGTTTCCTGGGCTCGACGGGGTGTCTGACTTGGTAGGTCTGGGGGTGTCCCAGGCGGGATGAATGTGAGCTCTGGCACTTGCAAAGCAGGAGCCTCTGCTACGGTGCTGGGTAGCAGAGTGAGCCGGCGGTCCACGGAAATACGGCAGGGCGGACGGGTTCATGGGCGAGGGAGGAGGCGGCTGAATGGGTGGGTTTCATGGGTGGATGGGCTGATTCGCGGGCGGGTGGATGGATTCGTTGCCAAATGGGTGGATTCATTAGTAGGTAGAAGGATAAACGGGTAGATTTGTGGCTGGGCGGGTGGATCGATTCGTGGGTAGAGGGGTGTGTTGAAGAGTGGGTCTGTCGATGGGCGGGTGGGCGACTGCGTAGACGGCATCCCGCGGGGTCTGGGCCTGGCTACTCGCAGGCCTCCCTCACCGCAGCCTCTCACCGGCTCGTCTCAGTGCCGTCGTGCTGTCTTTGTTCCCTTGCGTCTGCCTCAGCTCACTCGGCAGAACGTCCTCAGGCTTCATCTCTGTTGTAGCACGGGGCAGGGGCCGCTTCCTCTGTCACCCTGAGTGCCATTCTGTCGTGCGGTTCCACCTCGGTGTGTTTATCCACTCCTCCACCCCCGGCGGCCGGGCTGTTCCCGCCTTTGGCTGTCGTCAACGAGGCCACTGTGAGCATGGCTGTACAAATACCTCTCCAAGATCCTGCTTTACTTCTTTGAGCTCAAAGAATATACCCAGCAGCGAACTCCCAGGACCCTGTGGTGATTCTGAGTTTAACGTATTCGAGGAATCGCCATACCGGTTCCTCAGCAGCCGCGTTGTCTCACGTTCCCATCGGTAGTGCACAAGCATCTCCACCCCTTAATTTTTATTTTTTTCCTCCCACGAGTCCACATTTTGCTTGATTGTATCTGCCGCATTGCAAAGATTTTGACCTGCAGGAGGCACCCAGAGCATCTTGTTGGGCAAATGACACAGACACTGTTTCCACAGATTGATTGATTGATTGAGACAGGGTCTCACTGTGTCGCCCAGGCTAGAGTGCAGTGCTGCAGTCACAGCTCTCTGCAGCCTCGAACTCCTGGGCCGAGCCATCCTCCTGCCTCAGCCTCCCAAGTGTCTGGCACTACAGGTGTGCACACCACCACGCCCGGCTAACTCTCACATTTTTTGTAGAAACGGCATCTTGATATGTTGCCCAGGCTGGTGTCGAAGTCTTGGCCTCAACCAGTCCTCCTACCTCCGCCTCCCAAAGTGCTGGGCTTACAGGCGTGAGCCACCGCGCCCAGCCTCCAGGGCTTCCCTTGGGAAGAAGCTAAGAGGCTGTTTCCCAGCGGGCACTGCTCCCTCCTCTCGCGCACGGTCTCAGTTTCCCAGGCCTGGCGAAAGAGAATATGACAAACTGTATTGCTTGAACAACAGGAATTTATTCTCTCGTGGTCTTAGAGGCCAGAAGTCTGAGATCAAAGTGTCAGCAGGGAGGGTTCCTTCTCAGGGCTCGAGGGGAGGCTCCTTCCTTCCCTCTTCCAGCTTCTGGTGGCTCCAAGTGCTCCTTGGCTTGTGGTCGCATCACTTAAGCCTCTGCCTCCATCTTCACGTGGCCAGTGGTCTCTGTGTGTCTTTCTTTCCCTTCTCTTATAAGAATACTCGTTACTGGGCCGGGTACGGTGGCTCACGCCTGTAATCCTAGCACTCTAGGACGCCGAGGCAGGAGGACCGTTCAAGGTCAGGAGTTTGAAACCAGCCTGAGCAAGAGTGAAACCCCGTCTCTACCAAAAATAGAAAGAAATTAATTGTCTGACTAAAAATATATAGGAAAAAAAAAATGAGCCGGGCATGGTGGCGCATGCCTATAGTCCCAGCTACTCGGGAGGCTGAGGCAGGTGGATCGCTCGAGCCCGGGAGTTGGAGGTTGCTGTGAGCTAGGCTGACACCACAGCCCGGGCAAAAGAGTGAGACTCTGTCTCAAAAAAAAAAAAAAAAAGAAAGAATGCTTGTTACTGGACTTAGGGCCCACCTAGATCACTGAGGATGATCTCGAGATACCTAATTACATCCACAAAGACTCTTTTTCCAAGTAAGGCCACCCTCGAAGGTTCTGGGGTGTGGACGTACTTTCTGAGGGCCACCGTTGGAGCCGGGGCACAGCAAGGACTGGCCTGCCCCTCGGCCAAGTGGTCCACCCCACCCCGCCAGCCACAGGCTCCCGTCAAGTCCAGGACCGGTGACCCTTGGTGGCTGGATCTTCCCCGCCAGCTTTTGAAAGTTCTGTCCGTGGCCTTGGATTCAGGAAAGGAAGTCCCGTCTCCACCCACGGCCGTGGCCCGGGCAGCAACACGCACTTCCCACCCTGAGAGCGGCCACAGCGCCCCGTAGGGAGCAGGCTCGGGCCCAGTTCTGCTTTTGTCCTCTTTGGGGCAGGTGGCACTTCCCAGTGTCATTTCCCACTGAGGCCAAGGGTCAGGAGCAGTCTGAGCCTACCCCCAGTTCCCTAATTTATGAGGCTTCAGGTTCCTGTGTGTCCACGGACTTGGTGCGGGGGGGGGGGGCAGGCTCCCTGCAAGACCCCTTTATTAGAGGCCCAGGCCTTGAAGATGATTGGGGAGTTGGGCACGGTGGCTCACGCCTATAATCCTAGCTACTTGGGAGGCTGAGTGGGAGGATGGCTTGAGGCCAGGAGTTCAAGACCAGCCTGGGCAGCATAGCAGGACCCCATCTCGTAAAAAGAAAAGAAAAGAAAAGAAAGAAGGATACCGATTGGGAAAGGGAAGGGGCCGTCGTCAGTCAAATGACAACTCAGTGCCAGACACCTGTGGCCAGCCTGCTTTCCTGCCATCGTGGGGTTGTGTCCTGCCCCTAGCCCTGCACACAGACACGTCACAAGGAACTGGCCACAGGTTGAGATTCAGACTTGAGTTTGATTCTGGAAGCAGATGCAGCCTCCCTCCCCAGAAACCCAGACTGAGGAAAGGTGCTGAAATTGAGAAGGTTACGAGCTGGGAGAAGGAATAGAAGAAAATGCTTTTCCTCCTACTTTGAAAGAAAAGAGACCCAGGCCAGGCCACTGGAAACCCACCTGTGCGTGTTTTATGTCCCCGTGTGAGCCCGCAGACAAATGACTATCCCCCTGGAGAGAGAGGCAGGCCGTGTCCTGCAAGCCCTGGGCCGAGGAACCCATGCTGTCCCCAGGGCCTGCCACCCCGTAGGCTCCAGCTGCGTCTCCCGTATGACAGGGAAGGGCTCAGACGGGCGGCCTGCAGGCCCCGCCCAGCTCACACACCTGGCGGTGGGGGAGCCCTCAGGAGCCCCTCTAGACCACGACAGCCCCGGTGCTTGTGGCAGGAGCCCACTAGGCCACCTCCCTCCTATAGGGTCTTGGGCAACATGCCTTAGCTCCGTGTCCTCCATTGGGACCCACCGTGGCCACCCCAGCGGGTGGGGAGATCCTCTGAGAAACGCTTTGAATGACATCTAGAGCCTAGTCCTGGTGGCTCCTTATGCAACATTGCCGTCCCCACGGTTGGTGCTGAGAGAGAGCGCGGCTGCAGAGACGCCCGGGCCCCTGCTCCGGCTCCCTCAGACTCAGGGTCCACGGGACACCATGTGCCTCCCAAGGGGGCCGTGAGGCGGCGGAACACCAGACCGTCTGGGCACAACCAAGTATCGCCATGTGTCAGAGACCCCTGCACTTCCAAAGACATCGTGTCGGAAAGGAAATGAGAAAGCAAGGCCCAGAGCCAGAGCGGGCAGCGTTCATTACCACATTAAAGACTTGCGTTAAGAATACGTAAAAAAGAGCACTTAACACTAAGATAATAGCGACAAAACACACAGTAAGAAAATAGGCAAGGCCGGGCCCAGTGGCTCACGCTGTAACTAGCATCTGGGAGGCCAGGGCGAGGAACGCTAAGTCAGAGTTCAAAACCAGCCTGAGCAAGAGCGAGACCCTATCTTACTCTAAATAGAAAGATAATTAATGCTACTAAAAATATATAGAAAGAATTAGGGGCATGGTGGCACACGCCTGTACCCCACACGTCGGGGCTGAGGCAGGAGGATCGCTTAAGCAGCCTGGGCAAATACAAGATCCTTTCTACAAGAAAATAACAATATAGCCAGTCGTGGTGGTGCATGTCTCTGTAGTGCCAGCTACTCAGGAGGCTGAGGCAGGGGGATCCTGAGCAGGTAGTTTGAGTGTCACTTGAGTTACATGATGCCACTGCACTCTAGCCCAAGATGACAAAGTAACACCCTGTTTCTAAAAAATAAAAAACAGTTCTTGGGCCGGGCGAGTGGCTCACGCACTAGATCCTGACTGTGGGAGCGAGCAGGCGGATTGCTCAAGGTCAGGAGTTCGAACCGCTGATGAGACCCGTCTCTACAAAAAAGAAATAAATTATTGACCATCAAAATATATATCAAAAATTAGGCGGGCAGGGCGTGCCTGTCAGTAACAGCAGGTTGGGAGGCTGAGGCAGGAGGATCGTGAGCCCAGAGTTTGAGGTGATGTGAGCGGGCTGACGCCATCCGGCAGTCACTAGCCTGGGAACAAAGTGAGACTCTGTTCAAAAAAAAAAAAAAAGTTCTTCAAGACAACAATTTTAACAATACTAAAATATAACATTTTATTCCTTCTTTTTTTTTCTTTTAATGACAGAGCTGTCGTCGAAAAATATCTGCTTGAAAAGTTCGCGTGGTTCCAGGAGAAGATGAAGGTAGGAGGAGTTGAATCCGCATCGTGTTGAATTGTTCGTACGGATACGGGGAAAGCAATTCCTGAGGTCCGAGGAACTTCAGTGGAGGCTGTCAGAGGAGGGGGCCTGTGACCTCAAGCTTTGTGCCCATACCTCCTCCTAAGCCACCTGTTTGTGCCTCCTCCTAAAACCTTCTAAGGAGGCTGGGCGTGGTAGCTCATGCCTGCAATCCTAGCACTCTGGGAGGCCAGGCAGGAGCATCACTTGAGACCAGGAGTTCAAGACCAGCCTGAGCAAGAGGGAGACCACGTGTCTACAAAAAATAGAAAAATTAGCCGGGCATGGTGACGAGTACCTGTGGTCCCAGCTACTTGCAAGACTGAGGCAGGAGGATTGCTTGAGCTCAGGAGTCTGAGATTGCTGTGAGCTAGGCTGACGCCACGACACTCTACCCTGGGCAACTGAGTGAGACTCTGTCTCAAAAAACAGCAGCAAAACAAACCAAAAAACCTGAGATTTTTACCCTCAGTGCGTGCTCAGATGTCTGCCCAAAATGTGATTAGATTAGAAGACAAATTCCTAATTGACAAATGAGACATAAACTCACTCACCACCCTGAGTCCCTCAGAAGTCTATTTACTTGAGAAGTCTGATTTTTTTTAAGGACATAATAAGAATTGAATTGTTGTTGTAAATGTGTACTCATTTGAGGTGCTTCTTCCTCCCTGGTGTGGTCTCCAAAGCAAATCAGCATCGGTTTGAAAAGTATGTATTGCGTGGCCTCCAAAAACGACTTTTTCTCTCCTGATTTCCACCCGCAGGAACTACCACGTGTTTTATTATTTGCTACTTGGTGTCAGCGAGGATGAGCGCCAAGAATTTCAGCTCAAGCAGCCTGAAGATTATTTCTACCTCAACCAGGTAAACAACCCCGAGCCCCGGCCACAAACGCCACCTCTGTTCCCAGCCACAGCCGGAGAGTCAGAGGCTGCCTGCCTCGGGCCCAGGGTGGTGGCACAAAGGGTCCCATTCATCCTCAGAGTCCTGGGCCTGGCTTCATTGCTTCCAGCCAGAGCCACTCTCTCTCGCCGCCCTGCCTGCCCAGAAACACCCGCGGTGCTGACGCCTTTGTTTTTCAGCATAACTTGAAGATCGAAGATGGGGAAGACCTGAAGCACGACTTCGAGAGACTCAAGCAGGCCATGGAGATGGTGGGCTTCCTCCCTGCCACCAAGAAGCAGTAAGTGGGTGGGCCGGGGGCCGCTGTTCCACCGTGGCCGGCAGAGGGTGCCCTTGGCTCCTACTGGTCACTCTGAGATCTGACCCACAGCCCAGGAGGAAACCAGCAAGTCCCAGACAGAGCCACCCTAAGGACAGCCCAGTGGCGGTGAGCACATGACCTGGTGCGGGGCTGGCGCCAGCAGTCCCAGCTACTCAGGAGCCTGAGGCAGGAGGATCGCCTGAGCCCAGGAGTTTGGAATGCAGTGAGCTGTGACTGCACCACCGCACTCCAGCCTGGGCGGCACAACGAGACCCCATCCCTTGGGGGAGGAAAAAAAAACAGTGAAAAGCAACTCAAGCCATTAATCATTTGATTCCAGTCAAAACCAATATGAATATACTTAACACTACTGAACTGTACACTGAAAATTGGTTAAGGCAGACTGGGCACAGTGGCTCACGCCTGTAATACTAGCACTTTGGGAGGCCAAGGCAGGAGGATTGTTTGAGGTCAGGAGTTCAAGACCAGCCTGAGCAAGAGCGAGACCCATCTTGTCTCTATAAAAAAATAGAAAAATTAGCCGGGTATGGTCATATGCACCTGTAGTCCCAGCTACTTGGGAGGCTGAAGTAGGAGGATCACTTGAGCCCAGGAGTTGGAGGCTGCAGTGAGCTCAGGATGACACCACTGCACTCCAGCCTGGGCCACAACGAGACCCTCTCTCAAAAAATAAAAGGGGGGGGGGCCTTAAAGTAGTAAATTTTTTGTATATTTTACCACACTTAAAAAAATTCTTGGCTGGGCACAGTGGCTCACGCCTGTAATCCTAGCACTTTGGGAGGCCGAGGCGGGCGGATTGCTCAAGGTCAGGAGTTCGAAACCAGCCTGAGCGAGATCCCGTCTCTACCAAAAATAGAAAGAAATTAATTGACCAACTAAAAATATATATACAAAAAATGAGCCGGGCATGGTGGCGCGTGCCTGTAGTCCCAGCTACTTGGGAGTCTGAGGCAGTAGGATCACTGAGCCCTGGAGATTGAGGTTGCTGTGAGCGAGGCTGACGCCACGGCGCTCACTCTAGCCTGGGCAACAAAGTGAGACTCTGTCTCAAAAAAAAAAAAAAAAAATTCTTTTTTAAATTTAAAAACCACACAGCGTACCCTTTTCACCTGCCCAGATAGACGGCTGGTGTGTACGCTGCCTTGCGTTCCAGAGGGCACCCACTTTGGAAAACCACTTGGCAGCTTCTGCTGCAGCTATCTGTACACAAAAGAACTTGTGCGTTTGTTCACCGGCAGACACGCACACGAATGCTCACAGCATCTTCATTTATAACAGCCAGAAATACCTGCAGCTGCCCCCGAATGCCCAGCAGCAGGAGGTTAAACAAACAGCCAAACCGCAATGTGCCCGCGAGGGGTCGGCGGACTTTCTCTAAAGAGCCAGATAGTGAACATTTTAGGCTCTGCAGGCCAGATGCTCACTGTTGCATATTTTCTGTTTCATTTTGTTTTTAACAGCCCTCGAAAAACTTTAGAACTATTCTTAGTTCTGAAGCTACACAAAAATGGGCTTATATGTAGGACGTCATTTGCCGACCCCCTGACCCCTCCCCTCCCCGGGGCAGCTGTTCTCACCCAGGGTCAGTTCAGCCCCCAGGGGACACTTAGTGATGTCTGGAGACATGCAGGGTTTTCGACACTGGTGGGGGTGCTGCCGGCATCTAGCGGGTGGAGGCCAGGGATGCTGTGCAGCAGCTTACAATGCGTGGGGCAGCCCCCACAGCAAAGGAAGGTCTGTCCCCGCATGTAAGCACTGCCACGGCTGAGAAACTCTCGTCTGCCCTGTGCAGAACAGGCCAGCGCCACCTACAATGATATGCATGGGAGCCGGGCGTGGTGGCACTCGCCTGTAGTCCCAACTACTCAGGAGGCTGAGGCAGGAGGATCGTCTTATGGAAGCCAGGTGGTCAAGGCTGTGATCATGCCTGTGAACAGCCACCGCACTCCAGCACAGACGGCATAGGCAGTCACTGGCCAGACACGAGGACACAAAATTTCAAGTTCACAGGCTCGGCTAGGGCGGTGGGTCACGCCTGTAATCCCAGCTCTTTGGGAGGCCCAGGTGGGAGGATCGCTTGAGGCCAGGACTTGGAGACCAGCCTGGGCAAAACAATAATAATAAATAAATAAATATTAACAAAAGAAAGTTCAGGGTTGGCATTAGATGTCAGAACAGTGGTTCCTCAGGGGTTGGGGGCTCCAGGGCCTGAAATGTTTTATTCCTTGCTCTGGGGGCTGGTTAGAGGGGACATCACCAAACTATCCTGATTTTTTTGGTATGCATATTATGCTTTCATAAAAATATTTTTTAAAAAAAAAAAAAGCTCTCCTATCAAACGAAACAAAGTAGTCAAATACCTGTCTATAAAGTCACATTTCACAGAAAGAGTTCTTGGCAGAGGCATTAGGCATTTTTCAAACTTCACACCTTCCAACTAGAATTTGCTGATTTTATGATTTCTGCCCAGTTCCCTGGAAGTTCCTCTTGTCCTCTGAACGTAGAAAGTGCCCAAACACAGGCTTCGTTTCTTTCCCAGGATTTTTTCCGTCCTCTCAGCCATCCTGTACCTGGGCAACGTCACGTATAAGAAGAGAGCCACAGGCCGAGAGGAGGGCCTGGAGGTCGGCCCCCCCGAGGTGCTGGACACACTGTCCCAGCTTCTGAAGGTACTGCTGCTGCCTCTGTCCCTGCTCGGGCCCAGCGCGGGCTGCCGGCCGCCTCTCCGTACAGGGAACCCCAGCGCCTAAAACTGCCGGCGTTGGTAGGTTGTGTAGACCAGGGCCGAGCTCCTTCCCTGTCATCTCTGCCACGTGTCTTCCCCGTTCCTGATGGATTTCCCATACAGGGGCACTGCCCACCTCAACCCTTCAAGCGAAAGGCTCTTTCAAACTATAGTTTGGCCCGCGAGGTGGCTCATACCTGTAATCCTAGCACTCCAGGAGGCCAAGGCTTGAGGACAGGAGTTGAGACCGGCCTGAGCCAAGAGCAAGACCCTGTATCTAAAAAAAATAAATAAATAAAAAAATAGAAAAATTAGCCAGATGTAGTGTTGTGCCCTGTAGTCCCAGCTACTCGGGAGGCTGAGGCAGGAAGATCACTTGTGCACAGGAGTTTGAGGTTGCTGTGAGCTACAATGACACCACTGCGTTCTAGCCAGGGTGACAGAATGAGACTGTGTCTCAAAAAAAAGCCCCCAAAAACCGTAGTTTGATCAGCAAGGTCATTTTCTCATTGAACATGCCACCCCCTCATCCACTGGCTCTCAACCAGGAGCGGTTCTGCCCCAGGGGGCACTGCAGTGTCTCGAGATCTTTCTGGTCGTCAGGCTTGGGGGTGCTCCTGGCACCTGGCCGGTGGGAGCCAGGGAAGCCACAGTGCACACAGCAGCTGCCCATGGCGGGGCATGATCCAGCCCAAAGGGCAGAAGCCACAGAGAGGCCAGGAAGCCCTGCCTCCATCTTTCTGTTGGCTAAGCACATGCTCTGACCGCGGCTTTTCTTCAAGAAGGCCTGCAGGGCCCCCCTACCTTCTGTTGAGCTCTTGGGGATACGTGAGCACCTGCTGGGAGATTAGGAAGGCTTCCCTAACCCCCACTCTTGCTGCCAATGGGCAGAGACCACTGGCTCAGGGAGAGGTCTCAGCAGTTGGGGGACATGTGGTCTCTGGGTGAGGTCTGCACCCCAAGCCCAGCCCCCGGGCACACTGGATGGGAACCGCCAGCAATGGCTGTGAGTGCAGGCTGCCCAGTGCCTCCTGGGCCTGTAGCCCGTACTCGCGCCTGGGTCTGTGGACGGTCTCGTCCGGGCCGTCCAGCGAGGCTGTGCCCTGTGAGAATTCTGAGGCCTGCCAAGCGTAGAGCAGCACGTCTTGGGTGTGTGGCTTCGGGACCCGCTTCCCAGCCAGGCTGCTGCAGGGAGGCGGAGAGTCCCTCTCCTGTCCACACCGGGCTCCCGGGCTCGACAAGCTCTCCAATGTCTCCTTTCCTTCTCTCCCTCCTCAACCCTGAAACAGGTGAAGCGAGAAATCTTGGTGGAAGTTCTGACCAAAAGAAAAACAGTGACCGTCAATGACAAGCTCATCCTTCCCTACAGCCTCAGCGAGGTGAGTGCTGCCCAGGCACTTGCGGGGTGCCAGTCCCCCAAAATAGAAGCAGGAGAGTCCTTCAGAAAGAGCCCTTCTTACCCCTGAAGTGCTAGAATAGAGCCTCAGCGGTGCCTCTGACCCTCACCTAGCTCAGGTGTGGCACAGCAGGGTGCCTGGCACCAGGGAAGATTGGCCAGATATGGCCCCCCAACCTGCTTTTACAAATAAAGTTTTATTGGCATGTGGCCATGCCCCTTCATTTACATACCGTCTGTGGCTGCTTTCAGGCCATAGCAGCAGAGCTTAGCAGTTGAGACAAAGACCCTGATGCCCACAAAGCCAAAAGCAGTGCCTCACTGTTTCCACAGTGTCTCTAGGCCCTTCCTAGAGACGTTTGCACCCCCAGGCTCTGGGTGCAGCCTTTATAGCTATCACAGGGCTTGTGGCCTCAGGTCTGCCCCTAAATCTTGATAAGACATTTCCCTCTGGCCTTTGCATCAGCCCAGATGTTATCTCCGAGGAGGCGTGTTTCTCTTGCTTTTTTACATGTCAAGAGCAGGGTCATTTGCAGCTTGGATAGCGCCAGGAAAGTACCTGGGGGGGTGGGGTGCGGGTATTTTTAGCTGGTGGTGGCCTCTCACCCAACAAAAAGCTGCTGGGGCATTTGAGACAGGCACTGGGGACATTCTGAGTGGGGGGGAGGGCACGCAAGGCACCATGTGATATTACCAGGAAGCTGCTGCAAGATACCCAAGACCCCAGGGCATGAGTGTGCCCCAGAGGCAGTGCGTGTGGCGCCAGGCAGGGACTGCTTTCCATTTGGCCTTGTCCCCGTGACATCCGGGGAAGGCAAGAGCAGAGGGACATGTTCATGCTCTAGATCTTTTTTACAGCTGAATACATCGGTCGCAGCAGAGAACTGAAAATATACGAAGAGTAAATTTATTATAAGTCGGTTAGACCTTTAAAAAAACCACTTGAGGTGGGGCGAGGTGGCTCACCCCTGTAATCCTGGCACTCTAGGAGGCCGAGGTGGGCAGATTGTTTGAGCTCAGGAGTTCAAGACCAGCCTGAGCAAGAGTGAGACCCCGTCTCTACTAAAAGACATAGAAAGAAATTAGCTGGACAACTTAAAATATATAGAAAAAATTAGCCGGACATGGCACATGCCTGTAGTCCCAGCTACTCGGGAGGCTGAGGCAGGAGGATCACTTGAGCCCAGGACTTTGAGGTTGCTGTGAGCTAGGCAGACAACACGGCACTCTAGCCTGGGCAACAGAGCGAGACTCTGTCTCAAAAAAAACCATTTGATGCTGGGAGTGGTGGTTCATGCCTATAATCCCAGTACTTTGGGAGGCTGAGGTGGGAGAATCACTTGAGGCCAGGAGTTAGAGACCAGACTGAGCAACATAGTGAGACCCCATCTCTACTAAAAATAGAAAAATTAGCTGGGCATGGCAGCACACACTTGTAGTCCCAGCTACTCAGGAGGCTGAGGCAGGAGGATCTTTGAGCCCAGGAGCGTAAGGCAGTGAGCTGTGATGACACCACTGCACTCTAGCTGGGGCAATAGCTCGAGACCCTGTCTGGGAAAAAAAAAAGAGAAAAGAAAAGGGGTGTGTTGGACAACTCGGGTGTTGAAAGTGGCAGCCCGCGTGCGCAGACCAAGGGCTGGCCCAGCACAGGGGCTGCCCCGCCCGAGGTGAGCCGCCCCTCGCGTCCACAGGCCATAACCGCGAGAGACTCCATGGCCAAGTCTCTGTACAGCGCCCTGTTCGACTGGATCGTGCTGCGGATCAACCATGCCCTCCTCAACAAGAAGGACATGGAAGAGGCGGTCTCAGTGAGTGCCCCTGTCCACTCCACCAAGCGGGGCGGGGAGGCCGGGTCCCTAGCACCAGCCATCCTCGGTGGCCAACCTGTGACATTTCCCTCTGGCCTGAGGGGCTGAGGGGTCTACAGTTGAGAGGCCGGTTCCTCCCGTGGGCAGGCCCGGGGAACAGGACGGGCCACGGAATTCAAGGGGCCCAGTGCACGATGAAAACATGGGACCCCTTGTTCAGAAAGTGGATTCTAGCCAGGCGCAGTGGCTCCCACCTGTAGTCCCAGCCACTCGGGAGGCTGAGACAGGAAAATCTCTTGAGCCCAGGAGTTCGAAACCAGGCTGGGCAATATAGTGAGACCCCCCCATCTCTAAAATTAAAGAAACAATTACAGATTCCAAGCTGAGACAGCAAAGCCATTCAGCCAAGCACAGGGCCCTCCGGACCTAAGAGCTCACTGCCCAGGACGCCGGCGCCTCTCACAAAGGTGGGCTCCCCTGGGGGATGCACTGGCAGCGACCACGTTCTCTGTCTCCTCTAGTGCCTGTCCATCGGCGTCCTCGACATCTTTGGGTTTGAAGACTTCGAGAGGAACAGCTTTGAGCAGTTCTGCATCAACTATGCCAATGAGCAACTACAGTATTACTTCAATCAGCACATCTTCAAACTGGAGCAGGTGAGGCTCGAAGTGTCTTTTTTACTATTTTTTTTTTTTTCACTTGGCAAAATACACGTCACATAAAATTTACCTTCTTGCCAGGCACGGTGCCTCGCACCTGTAATCCTAACACTTTGGGAGGCCGAGGAAGGAGAATCCCTTGAGCCCAAGAGTTCGAGACCAGCCTGGGCAATGTAGCGAGACCCCATCTCTACAAAAAAATAGAAGAATTAGCCGGGCATGGGGGGTGCGTGCTTGCAGTCCCAACTACTCAGGAGGCTGAGGCGGGGGGACCGCTTGAGCTGAGGAGTGTAAAGTTGCGGTGAGCTGTGATGATGCCTCAGCACTCTAGCCTGGGCAGGTGCACTGCCATCACCTAGCGACTCTGTCCCCAAAGAAAATAAATTTATCTACTTAACCATTTGTAAGTGTGCAGTTCAGCAGTGTTGAGCACATTCATATTTTGCAGTCATCAGCACCATCCACGTCCAGAACTCTTTTCTTCTCCCCAAACTGAAACTGTCCCCATGAAACACCAACTCCCCATCCTCCCCCCCTCTAACCCCGAGCACCCACCTTTCTACTTTCTGTCTCTGTGCATGTGAGGACTCTAGGGACCTCATGTAAGTGGGATCACACGGCGTTTGTCGTTTTGTGTCTGGCATGTTCCACCGAGCAGCAGAACGTCTTCTCCGTTCGTTCAGGCTGTGGCTTATATCAGAATTCCCTTCCTTTTTAAGACCGAATAATATTCCACTGTGCGGGGATACCACATTTTGTTCATTCATCTGTAGATAGACACTTGGCTTGCTTCTGCCCTTTGGCTTTTGTGAATAATGCCGTGAACATAAGTGTACAAATACCTCTTTGACACTCTGTTTGCAATTCTTTTGGGTATATACCCAGAAGTGGACTTGTTGGATTATATAGTGATTATATATAACTTTATATATCACACTTTTTTACTTTTTCTTTTCTTTTTTTTTTTTTGAGGAATCACCATACTGTTTTCCAACAGCAGCTGCACCATTTTACAGGGAAATACCATTTTGTTGCCCACCCAGCCCCAGGGGAAATGGAATGAGCTAGAATCGGAATCTCCCTTGAGGCCCAGATCCTTGGCGAACTTGCCCCAGAATTTTTGTCCGTCAAAGAGAAAGTCCAAGAAAATCCCACTCAACCCAGGTCGAGGCAAACATTGGGGATGTTTTGAGCCACAGGTCATTTTTGGATCTTCCTCACCCCCATGTGAAAGTTCTTTTCATGGGAGAGAAACAGCGTTGCCTTTTAAGGGTTGGCTTTGGTCAGTGGTATTGATCAACTACTTTACATGGTCTTTTTACTGCTAAATAGTCATCTTTATTCATGTATTATGAGCAAAGATGATCCTTCACGCTGATGATTCTGGTTGGAAGAGAGGAACAGGTGGATCGATTAGACGTTTAGCTGATTCTGCGGAGAACTCGGAACGTGGCTGGTCGGAGTTACGTCTCGCAAGAAGAGCCAAACACACTCCAGACTGCGCGGACTTAGTATGGGGAAATAAAGAATGTAAACTGTCTCAAATCCTCTTTTTTTTTTTTTAAACAGGGTCTTGTTCTGTCACCCCAGCTATAGTAGAGTGGCATCATCATAGCTCACAGCAACCTCAAACTTGCGGGCTCAAACAATCCTCCTGCCTCAGCCTCATGAGTAGCTGGGACTATAGGCGAGCGCCACCATGCCTGGCTAATTTTTTGTAGAGAGGGGGTCTCACTCTTGCTTACGCTGGTCTCGAACTCTTGGCCTCAAGTGATTCTCCTGCCTCATCCTCCCAAAGTGCTAGGATTACAGGCATGAGCCACTGTGCTTGGCCTCAACATTTTTTTATATTGATTACATGTTGACAGGATTATATTTAGGATATGTGGGGTTAAATTAAGTGTACTATTATTAAAATTAATTTTTCCTGTTTTTACATTTTATTTTTTTCTTTTTCTTTTTTGTTTTTTTTTAGAGACAGAGTCTCGCTATGTTGCCCAGGCTGAACTCGGCCTCGCAAGTTGCTGGGATTATGGTGCATGTAGCACTGCGCCCGGCTTTACTTTTTAAATGTGACTGTTGGAGATTTTGAAGTTATATGAGTCACTAGCATTATATTCATTATTTGTATTATATTCGACAGCATAGCTCTAGAGCCAGCAAACAACAGCCAGTGGGTCAAACAAATCTGCCCCCACAACTGTTTTTATACATAAAGCTTTATTGGTACACAGCCATTTATTTACATGCCGTCTGTGGCTGCTTTCACACAACCAGTAGTCCCAACAGATACTATTATCTGGCTTGTAAAGTGCTGTCTGGCCCTTTACAGAGAAAGTTTTTAAACCCCTGGGTGATTTTAAGCACCATGTGGTGACTGACACTTAAGAACTTGCATTCTTTTTTTTTTTTTTTTTTCAGAGTCTCGCTTTGTTGCCCATGCTAGAGTGAGTGCCATGGCATCAGCCTAGCTCACAGCAACCTCACACTCCTGGGCTCAAGCGATCCTCCTGCCTCAGCCTCCCGAGTAGCTGGGACTACAGGCATGTGCCACCATGCCCGGCTAACTTTTTCTATATATATTAGTTGGCCAATTAATTTCTTTCTATTTATAGTAGAGACGGGGTCTCGCTCTTGCTCAGGCTGGTTTCGAACTCCTGACCTCGAGAAATCCGCCCGCCTCAGCCTCCCAGAGTGCTGGGATTACAGGCGTGAGCCACCGCTCCCGGCTAGAACTTGCATTCTTATTTCCTATTGATGATAATTAATCTAATAACTTTATATAGTTATTAATGTATTCCTACGTATTTATTTATTTTGAGACAGAGTCTCACTCTGTTGCCTGGGCTAGAGTGCCATGGCGTCAGCCTCGATCACAGCAACCTCCAACTCCTGGGCTCAAGTGATCCTCCTGCCTCATCCTCCTGGGTAGCTGGGACTATAGGGATGCACCACCGTGCCTGGCCAATTTTTTCGATATGTTTTTAGTTGGCCAATTAATTTCTTTCTATTTTTAGTAGAGATGGGGTCTTCCTCTTGAGCAAACCTAATCCAAAATCCAAAATACTCCAATGAGCATTGCCTTTTAGCATCACGTAGGCACTCAAATTTGGGGGTTTTTTTCTTTTATTGGATATGGGGTCTTGACTTGAAGCTGACCTCAAATTCCTGGGTTCAAGCAATCCTCCCACTTCACCCTACTGAGTCCCTGGGGCCACAGATGCATGCCACCAACACCCACCTTAAAAAGTGTCAGATTTTGAGGCTGGCCACCGTAGCTCACACCTGTAATCCTAGCACTTTGGGAGGACAAGGTGGGCAGATCACTCGAGGTCAGGAGTTCAAGACCAGCCTGAGCAAGAGTGAGACCCCCATCTCTTTAAAAAATAGAAAAATTAGCCAGGCATGGTGGTATGTGCCTGTAGTCCCAGCTACTCTGGAGGCTGAGGCAGGAGGATCGCTTGAGCCCGCAAAGAGTTAGAGGTTGCAGTGAGGTGTGATGATGCCATTGCTCTGTAGCCCAGGCAATAGAGTGAGACCCTGTCTCAAAAAAAAAAAGTCTTAGCTTTTGGATTTTCGAGGCTAGGGGTGCTCAGTCTGTGTGCAGCTGTGTCATGTCAGCGTTGCCATGTCTGGGAAGTACTGAGCTTCTGCTGCCCCCGCCCTGCAGGAGGAGTACCAGGACGAGGGCATCACGTGGCACAACATCGACTACGCAGACAACGTGGGCTGCATCCATCTCATCAGCAAGAAGCCCACGGGCCTCTTCTACCTGCTGGACGAGGAGAGCAAGTGAGTGTCACTGGCCCGGCAGGCCCACAAACGTGGGGATTGGGTTCCCTGGCCCCCCGGGGCCTTACCCCAAATCCGTACCGTCCTGAGAACCTCTCAGCCTCTCCTGGTCATTTGGCCATGACATCTGCAGGACACACATAATGCTAACATGCATGATTAATCCGTGCACCCCGAAAACACACATGCCCAGAAGTGGCCAGTAAGACATTGCGCCCCACCCCCAGGTCTGGAAACTAGGGGCGGGGCAGGTCCTTGCAGAGGTCACAGGGCAGGTGGATCCGGGTCCCAGACACCGCCAGGCTCTGGAGTCACTGCTGGACCTTGCGTGTCTCGGCCCCTCATCCCCAGGGCACAGGGACAGGTACAAGTCCCTGTCCAGGGCAGGGCGATAGACACACCCCCGTGAGGCCAGGGTTCCGATGAGAGAAGGGGCGGGGGCCAGGAGGAGAGCGCTGTCACCACCACCGGGAGTCGCGCAGGGGAGGCCTGTGAGGCCGGCTCCAGGAGGCTCAGGTCTGTCTGTGTTTTAGACTCTTGCTATTTTTGTTCACCGTGGAATTTCTTTTCCTTTTGCGCACCGATGTGTATTTTCTGAAGTGGTACGCTAAAATGTTATTTATCGCAACAACTGGGTTTTTTTGGCACCGGCGGCAGATGCCTCACTTCACAGCTATGGCCTCCTCCCGGCCGCCGAGCCGCAGAGCCCCCGTGTTGGGGATCCGAGCCCACATTCCACGGCCTGTGTTTGCGGGGAGGCCAGGCGCGGGCCGTGTGTGCCAAAGCCAGCGGTGGCGTTTCCCTCCCGGGAGGCAGACACAGCCAGGTACAAGGCGGCCCTTATTCTGCCGCTGCGCCTGCCGCCTCCCCAGAGCACAGCAGGGGCTGGGCCGCCGCTGTCTCCTGGCCCCCCCCTCACCGCGGGGGCAGAGGCAGGGCGCCTCTCCAAGGCCCAGCGTCCAGGTGCGAGTGGCCAACGCCGCAGTCACCACGGCCCGGGATTGTTCTCTGGAGCCGCCCGCGGTGGGCTCAGATCCAGGCCTCCCCTGGAACAAACGTCTGCAGATGCCACCAAGCCCGGTCAGTGGCTTCTGCAGCCCCCCAGAAAACAGCTGTGAGCGGAGCAGAGAGTGAGCGTCCCGCACGCGGACTGGGCTGCTCCGATGGATTCTGGATTCTGCCGCCCTGAGCGTAGGCTCCCGCCAGCCTGCCCAGACCAGGCTGCAGACGCAGCTCCGATGCCGGCTGCAGGCCCCCGGGTGGCGCGCCCGGCACTCTGCGCGAGACAGGCTCGCTCCTTCCTTCCTTCCTTTCCTTTCATCTTCTGTTCGGCCCACGGAGCCCTGCACCCGCCCGCCTCGTGCGCACGTGCACCGAGGGTCTGCGTGCGAAACGCGCAGCCTGTAAACCGGCCGCCGTTCCCGCGACCGAAGTTGTCTCCTTCTCTTCCCAGCTTCCCCCACGCCACGAGCCAGACCCTGCTGGCCAAGTTCAAGCAGCAGCACGAGGACAACAAGTACTTCCTCGGCACCCCGGTCATGGAGCCGGCCTTCATCATCCAGCACTTCGCGGGGAAAGTGAAGTATCAGATCAAGGTGGGTGTCGCCCCTGGCGCCTTCCGCAGCCATGCGAGCGAGGCCACCGCCGGCCCAGACACCGTGAAAGGGGCCAGTGGGCGGTCACGCCTGGCACTGGATCAGGTTCCGGGGCATCCAGACCCAGCCCTGGAGCCCCGTCTCTGATGCCCAGGGTCCCCCAGGCCTGCCCTTTGTCGTTGGGACGGCCCCTGCCCCGCCACCAGCCCTTCCCTCGCTGGCTCCGGGTGTCCGGCGGGCACTGGCAGGTGGCCGCCCTCAAGTGACCGCCTGCACCCGTCCCCCTCCAGGACTTCCGGGAGAAGAACATGGACTACATGCGGCCCGACATCGTGGCCCTGCTGCGGGGCAGCGACAGCTCGTACGTGCGCGAGCTCATCGGCATGGACCCCGTGGCCGTGTTCCGCTGGGCCGTGCTCCGCGCCGCCATCCGTGCCATGGCCGTGCTCCGGGAGGCCGGGCGCGAGAGGGCCGAGAGGGCGGAGAAGGCCACAGGTAGGAGCAGGGCCTTGAACCCCCACAGGTGTCACCGTCCAGAGGGGGACATCCAGGGCCTGTCTTGGCGTGAGCGGCTCAGCGTTGAGTGCGTTCATGTTGTGCAGCCACAACTCTGTCTAGTTCTACGGCTTCTCGTCACCCCAAACTGAAACGGTGGCGGAGCGTGTGATCTGATCTCATCTCAGGCCATCCTGTCGGCGACTCTGTCGGTCCCCTCCTTTGCTAATGGCGTGCCCTGACCCTGCCCCGGGAGCTTCCTGGTGCGGCAACACGGCTTCTGGTGCTCTGCCCTCCTTCTCTCGTCTGAGCTGCTCTACCTGGGTCCCAGCCTGGAAGGGACAAGTCTGTCCCTTGTCCTGGGTGGGGACTTGGTTTGAGCCAGGGAAGTGTACCTGACTCCCCCGAGACTCTGACCAGCCCTTTGGGGACGTCACCAGCAAAGGAGGGGCTGGCACAGTTGCTCACATGGGATGGCAGAAGGCCGTGTCCCCGTTTTTCCCATAAAGAACTTGCGGCCCCACACGATCCCCTGGCTCCCCTGGGTCTCAGGGCTCAACCTCCCGTCCTCGGCTTTGATTTCAGTTATTGGGGGCGGCGGGCTGGGGTCTGTCTCATGTAGGACATTGGGGGAAAGGAGGAAGGACAAAGGCTTTGTGAGAAATAGGATGTGAACGGGCGCTTCACAGTTCTGGGGATCAAACACTTCATAGTTCCCCTACTCTGGCTACATTTGAGGAACAAACTTTTTTTAAGATGGGTACAAGTTAGCCAGGTATGAAGGTGCGTGCTGGGAGTAGTCCCAGCTACTCAGGAGGCTGAAGTGGGAGGATCACCTGAGCCCAGGAGTTTGAGGCTGCAGTGAGCTGTGATCGTGCCACTGCCTTCCAGCCTGGTCAACATAGCAAGACCCTATCACTAAACAATATTTTTAAAAGTTAAAAAAAAGTTGCCTCAAAATAAGGATCACCTCTGGGGAGGCTGAGGTGGGAGGATAGCTTGAGGTCAGGAGTTTGCGACCAGCCTGAGCAAGAGCAAGACCCCCCTCTCTGCTATAAATAGAAATTAATTGGCCAACTAATATATATAGAAAAAATTAGCCGGGCATGGTGGCGCATGCCTGTAGTCCCAGCTGCTCAGGAGGCTGAGGCAGGAGGATCGCTTGAGCCCAGGAGTCTGAGGTTGCTGTGAGCGAGGCTAACGCCACGGCACTCACTCCAGCCTGGGCAACAAAGCAAGACTCTGTTTCAAAAAATGTGTGTGTGTGTGTGTGTGTGTGTGTGTGTGTGTGTGTGTGTGTATGAAAAATTAGCTGGGCACAGTGACAGGCGCCAGTAGTCCCAGCTACTCAGGAGGCCGAGGCAAGAGGATCACTTGAGCCCAGGAGTCTGAGGTTGCTGTGAGCGAGGCTGACGCCACGGCACTCACTCTAGCCTGGGCAACAGAGTGAGACTCTGTCTCAAAAAATAAATAAATAAGGATTGCCGCCTCGAGGGAAAGGAAGAGGGCTGTCAGGTGTCCTACCACTGTCCGCTCTGTGTATCTAGCAGGTATGAGCAGCCCTAGTGGCCGAGGTCACCCAGGAGAGCTGCCAAGAGGAGCCAACACCCCTTCGGAAAAACTTTACCGGTGAGCGAGACCTTGATTTGTCTAAACCAAGGCCATTGAACGACTTGGAAAACCCTACACCCAGGTCAGGGTTGCTCTAAATAAGTCACCGAGTAGCCATTGGAACCACAGAGGCCCAGAGCCGAGAGCATTTGCTTCTGCTTCTCTGGCACTGAATGGCAGGCCTCGGGGCATCGCCTGCTCAGGGAGGTGCCAGCAGCGCAGTCCACAAAGGATCCTTTTCATGGCGCAGGGTGGGCGTCGGCGGGTGGAGCCCAGGGACGCCGGTCTGCGTAGTGACAGGCGTGACCCTTAGCCTGGCCGGGGTGGCCTCGAACAGTCCTGCCGACTGACTTCCTTCACACCCAGAAATGCACACGCCTCCTTGTCGCTCGTAAGATGACACAGGGCACTTTGTGATCCCCTTGCAAGGACCCTCCACATGCCCCAGCATGCACTGGCTCCAGGGTATGAAAGTGAGTGGGCGCACCTGTCGCCAGGCAGGTGGGGGAGAAAGGCCACGCTGGACAGATGTCCAAGGCAATGACAAAGCCGGAGGAGGGGCGTTTCTGGAAGCCTGAGAGAGCCAGGCAGGCCTTTCTGAGATGGGACCCGTTGGGTCAGACACGGAAAGTAGGCAGCATGTGCAGAGGCCCTGGGGCAGCCCCGTCCCTGCCTCCTTTCTCAAGACTCAAACTCCCAGGGAGCGAGTCCCTCAATTTTTGACCATGGAAGGGTCATTTTATGTTTGAGCCGTTTGTAATGAAAACTTCTTTAGGAGATCCGTAAGAGTGCGTGAGTGGGGGTAGAGCTATATCACCGAGGTAAGTGACTGTCAGTAGTTTTTCTGGAAGCACAGTGTGTCACTTTTCCTGCTTTTAAAAAAGTGCATTTTTAAATTGGACCTTTTTCACCGAAATGGGTGCAAAAGAAAGGAGAACACATCTCTCTCTCTCGGCTCGTGTGGGTTTTTGTTTGGTGGTGGTGGTTGTTTGGTCCTCTTCCCTGTAAAGACAGAGTGGCCTCTGACCCCTCACAGTCACTGAAGCAGCGTCCGTCTTCCCCAGGCCCGGCCGGGGCTGCGGGTCCCACCCGGGGGGCGGGGTGAGTTTATACAGCTTCTCCCTTGCAGCTGCTCAATGCTAGATTTCTCATTTGACGGCTCTGAGGAGTTCGATATTAACGCTTTTGAGGACATCATTGCTTTCTATGAAAGCAAGAAGTAAGTAGCCGCGAGGCCTCGGGTCCCGACGCCAGGGAGGCACACGGAGAGGCAGCACCCTCCCCAGGTGCTCAGCGCTGCGCCCGGGCAAGGAGAGGGCCGGCCATCCCCGCGGTGCCAGGACCTGCGGAGGACCCCCCCGCCACGTCCGGTGGGGGCAGAGGGGCAGGGGGCGGGGGCGCCAAAGCCGTCAGCCTCGTTCCGAGCTGTGGCCGCTGCGCTGACCACTCTGAGCATGGAGATGACATGAGTCCCCTGTGTTGTCTTTTGCTCTGTGCCTTCCTGGAGGGGTAGGGAGCACAGGTAAGTGCGGGCACTCGGCATGGTGCATGGCACACGGGGCTGCGTGCGGACTGGGGTCCTTCCAGGCCGGCCGCCTGGAGCTTAAACATGTGTTTTAAATGCCTGGAATGAGGAATTTCAGAAACAAGCCAATGAAAATCAGAACCTCGTCCCCAGAAGTTCTCTGAAAGACATTCGTCCTGTAGACACTCCCCACTGATACGTTGAAAGCGTCCGATTTGGTTCTCTGTAGCGGTCTCGTTCCCACACGTCGGGGCCAAAGTTTGGGCACACAGCGTATGGTCGAGCAAAATGAAGCCAATAAGATCGAGTGCTTTGGGGTGACTGTCCCCGTAGAGTCACTAGGCTGGACCACGCTCTGGGGTTGGGCCCACCCTCTACATTGGAGAGGGTGGAGCAGCGTCCCTGGGCTCCACCCACCAAATGCCAGGAATACTCGCCCCAGTTGTAAAAGCCACAGATATTCCCAGACATTGGCCAACATCTAGGCAGGCGGGCAGCCTGGCCCGCCCAGGGGAGAACGTTAAACTCATGGCTCCTATATTCAGATTCATTCCTGGCGGGGCACAGTGGCTGTTAATCCGGGCACTTTGGGAGGCCAAGGCAGGAGGATCGCTAGGGTCCAGGAGTTCAGAACTAGCCTGGCCAACATAGCCAGACCCTGCCTCTACAAAAATTTTTACAAATTAGTCAGGCGTAGTGGCACGTGCCTGTAGTCCCAGCTACTAGGGAGGCTGAGTGGGAGGATCACTTGAGCCCAGGAATTTAAGGTTGCAGTGAGCTATGATCACGCTGCTGTAGTCCAGCCTTGGGAGACAGAGCAAGACCCTGTCTCAAAAAAAAAAAAATTCTCCTAAAGACCTTTGTGAAGCCAACAAGGAGGTTGACACCTAGCCACAGAATCGTGGACAAGAAACTAATTTGTTTCCCCAACAGAGACCCTAGGGTCTTTGTTCCTGAGTAGCCCCTGGCTGCTCTTTAATGATCTCAAAAGGCTGGTCTTTTTTTTTTTGAGACAGAGTCTCACTCTGTTGCCCGGGCTACAGTGCTGTGGCGTCAGCCTGGCTCACAGCAACCTCAAACTCCTGGGCTCAAAGTCAGGAGTTTGAGACCAGCCTGAGCAAGAGCAAGACCCGGTCTCTACTAAAAATAGAAAAATCAGCTGGGCATGGTGGCACATGCCTATAGTCCCAGCTACTCGGGAGGCTGAGGCAGGAGGATGGCTTGAGCCCAGGACTCTGAGGTTGCTGTGAGCTAGGCTGACGCCACGCACTCTAGTCTGGACAACAGAGTGAGACTCTGTCTCAAAAAAAAAAAAATCTCAAAAGGCTCTTAAGCGCCTCAAAAGGAGATTTTTTTCAATGATCCAGCTAAAAGGGATCAATTGAAATTAAACAACCCAGTGGAAATGATTGATGGAAAAGAATCCAGTGATCCGTGCTGCCCAGTCCACAGGCCCCCCAGCCTGGGAAGGCCTGCCCGGCAGTCCCCGTTCTCGAGAGGAAGGAGAGGCGGCCTTGATCACGAGCTATGCGTGTTTCAGCTCCAGTGGCCTAGGGACGGCCCCAGTGGCACTGGGGACCCCAAGGTGGTGGGCCTGCGACTCTAACTCTGTCTTCTCTCTGTCACTGCACCTGCCCCACCCTCCCCACCCTCAGCGATTTGCATAACCAAATCATCAGGAGCATCAAAGGACTGCCCTGGCAGGGCGAGGACCCCCGTAGGCTCCTGCAGTCCCTCAGTCGGCTCCAGAAGCCCCGCGCCTTCATCCTGTGAGTCCCCCAGAGAGCCCCGACAAGTGCAACGGCTGCCTCCCCGCCGCTCCCGGGGCCCAGCTGGGCCTGTGGGCTTCCTGAGTTGAGCAGGCCACTAAAAAGCAGCGCTGTCTCTTGGCCCCGGCCTCACCCGCAGCCCTCGCTAAACGGCCGTCATTAACACCCCTGCGGCCCAGGCCCCGCCAGCTTCCCGGCGCACAGTGTGGCTTTGCAGGAGTGCTCCTTCTCTCTCAAAGGCATCTAATTTCCTGTCCCCAAAACGTGCTCCCCACAACCCACGCCCCGCCCTGGTCTGGCTTGCCGAGCAGGGCTTGCTCCCGCCTTCACACCGAGCGCTCCCAGAGCAGCCGTCTGAAGCAGAGCTCGAGTCCTTGTGAGTCGTGGCCCTGCCCTGCGCACCGGGCTGGCCACGTCAGCCGGTTGACAGAGCCCAGAAGGCACACAAACCGGGTTGGGAGGCTGGGCGTGGCGGCTCGCACCTGTAATCCCAGCAACTCTGGGAGGCCAGGGCCGGGAGGATCACGTGAGGCCAGGAGTTTGAGACCAGCCTGAGCAAGGGCGAGACCCCGTCTCCACTATAAATAGAAAAATGACCCCAGCATGGTGGTTCGTGCCTGTAGTCCCGGGAGGCGGGAGGCAGGAGGCTCGCTTGAGCCCAGGAGTTTCCGTCTGCAGTGAGCTGTGATGACGCCACTGCACTCCAGCTTGGATGACAGAGCAAGACTTTGCCTCTAAAAAAAAAAAACCTGGGTTGGGGTCCCAACTCCCAGAGCCGATGGCATCTGCGGTCACTGCATCCGACCTCTTGGCAGCCTCTCGGGGTGCAGGTCGGCGGAGAGCGAAGCTTGCCACCTGCAGGGGAGCTAGCTTCAAACGTCCCTTTGTCCTGCATTGTTTCCCCACAGGGGCCAACCTGTGATGCTCGCTGGCCTAGCGCCTCGGGGCTCTGCGGGACACTGTTTCCTTAGCCGGTCCTCCGAAGGCACCAAGCTCCTGTTTTCATTTATTTACTCGTTTTCCCTGTGGTCCGCAAGATTCCTCGAAGTGTCTGAGAACCCAGGAGCCGTGCCCTCCCTTTGCTCAGCCCGCAGAGCGGCCGTGGTTTCTTTCCTCTCTGCCAGTGTGGTCCCAAAGGGCTCCCCACTCCGGCAGGACTCATTTTGGTTCTTTGCAGGCGCAGGTTCTGGAACGAACGGAAACGTGTTCCAGAAGGGGTTCCGTGGGCCCGTTCATCATCAGAACTGCTCAGGGCCCCACAATTCCCCCCATTCAGGGCATCAGGCCATGATTTTTTTTTTTTTTTTCAGGATATTTTGAGGATGCAAACATTTTGGTTACATTTTATGTCTCGGCCTCACCCAGGCGAGAGTTAGAGGCATGCCCTTGCCTCTACAATGCTCACCACGTCCATTAGTTGTGAGTTTACCCCCTCCCACCAGCCCCCTAACCCCTGGACAGTGTTACTACCATGCGAGCACCACAGTGTTGATCAGTCAGGGCCAACTTGATGGCAGGCACGTGCGGAGCCCATTCTTCTCATCTTGTGATACCTCACTTTGGATAATGGGCTCAAGCTCTATCCAGGAAAATATAAGAGGTGCTAGATCACTGTTGATTCTCATAATTGAGTAACGTTCCACTGTATACATACACCAAGTTTTAATAATGCAGCCGTGAATTGACGGGCACTCGGGTTGTTTCCACGACCTTGCGATAGTGATTGTGCTGCCGTGAACATTCGGGTGCAGATGTCTTTATTACAGAATGTCTTTTGCTCTTTGGGGTAGATGCCTAATAGTGCTACTGCTGCATCGAATTCTATTTCTGTTTTTAGCTCTTTGAGGTATCTCCAAATTCTTTTCCAGAAAGGTTACACTAATTTGCAGCCCCACCCTCAGTGTAAGAGTGTTCCTGTCTCCACATCCTTGCGAGCATTTGTTGTTTGGGGATTTTTTGATAGAGGCCAATCTCACTGGGGTTAGGTGGTATCTCACTGTGGTTTTGATTTGCATTTTTCTAGTGATTAGAGATGTTGAGTATTTTTTTTTTTTTGTATGTTTGCTGGCCATTATTCTGTCTTATTTTTAAAAGTTTCTCTTCATTTCCTTTGCCCATTTATTGATGAGGTTGTTTGATTTTGTTTTTTGGTTGTTTGATTTTTTCTTGTCAATTTTTTTTTTTTAAGTTCTAGATAGATTCTTGTTATCAGCCCTTTATCGGATGCGTAGAGAGCAAATATTTTCTCCCATTCTGTAGGCAAGGCCATGATTTTTCGAGATATGTCAGTTCCTCCGCAGTGTCTTTCACCCTGTAGGTCACTAGCCAGCGGCTCCTCCTCCTGGGACATCCACATGGCCCCCAGACCTAAAGCTCTTGTCAGCTTAGGAGCAGCCACCAGCCCAGGGAAGCTGGTGGCGTGCACGGTGCCGAAGCTCGCTGGGTCTTCGGAGAGGCAGTGGCGGCAGCCTCATTGCACTTGTTCCTGTCCCCTCACTCTTTCTCTCTCTCAGTCTAACCCATAAGGCGTGGCTTGCTCAACTAACCCCAGTCCAGACACTGTGTTCCTTTTGTTCACCAAACCGTTTTTAATATTTTGACAGGAAAAGTAAAGGTATCAAACAAAAGCAGATCATTCCAAAGGTAAAGAGAAACAAACACCCGCGCGTCACTTTCAAAGATGTCTCGCTTCTTTGCCCGTCTCGAGAGCACCTGGCAGCCTGAGTCCTTGCTCAGAAAGTGGGGTGGGGGCGGGTGGGCTGGGAGGGGGCCGCGCTTTTAACACCCGCAGCCGCTGCTTGTTCCTTCCTCTCCCCGCTGTCCCCCCTTCCCTCCAGAAAGAAAAATGTAACATGCTGAAATGATTTGGAGCTGTCTCTGTTTGGGTGTCCCAGAAGCAGGGCCAGAGATGGGGACGTTTGCACAAAAGACAGCACGTTGAGGGGGCTCTCGAGAAAGCTGGGAGGGGGTGAAGGCGGAAGCCGGGCAAGGATGCGGGCTCAGCGCGCCCCGGCCTGGTCCCGCGAGGAGCTCGGGAGGGTCAGTGGCACCGCAGAGCTTGTCCTGCCCGGAGGCAGGGAACCCTCTGCTTATCCCGCACGGGCCAGTCCCTGGCTATGAGCCAGCTCCAGAGGGCGGGACAGGACAGAGTTTCCATGCACAGCGTGCCGAGGCTTAGGAGTTTGCAAGAGTGAGGACAGCCTCTCCGACTAGTCAGCAGACGGGACAAGGCCAGTTCCTCTCGGCAGCTGATAGAGCTGGTTGGCAGGCTGGGGCGGCCCTGCCGATGAGCTCACGTGCAAGACGCCACAGGATTCGGCAGTCCTTGGCTCAAGTGACATAAACCGTGGCGAGCCGCGCAGAGGGCCAGCCAGGCTTGATGAACTGGCTTCCTCCCCTCTCCAGAAGGAGGAGGAACCGGGGCCGGCACTCAGGCCGTGAGAGGCTGTCGCCAGTCCTCCTGGAGCCAGTGTCTTATGCAGTGCGCAAGCCAGGCTCAAGCCACCAGCAGCACCAGCCAGGCTCGGGCCTCAGACTCTCCCTAAGAGCTGCCACCCTGGCACTCACCAAAGGGGCATGGCACCCCACCTGGTTCCGGGGACGTCTGCACTGCCTCCCCGGGCACATGTGTGGGTTGCAGGAGGGCAGGCCGGACCCCGTGTGTCTTTCTAGAACCTGCTGGACTCCAAGTCCCTGAAACTGATCATCAGCATGACGCTGCACGACCGGACCACCAAGTCCCTGCTGCACCTGCACAAAAAGAAGAAGCCGCCGAGCATCAGTGCCCAGTTCCAGGTGGGCGGGCCGGGGCCGGCGAGGTGTGGTGCTGCGCTCAGCCCGGTGCTTGTGCCGCTGGGCTAAAACCAGAGCTGGGGCCGGGCGCGGTGGCTCACGCCTGTCATCCCAGCACTCTGGGAGGCCGAAGCGGGAGGATCCCTCAAGGTCAGGAGTTTAAAACCAGCCTGAGCAAGAGCGAGACCCTGTCTCTACTAAAAATAGAAAGAAATTAATTGGCCAACTAAAAATATATAGAAAAAATTAGCCGGTCATGGTGGCGTGTGCCTATAGTCCCAGCTACGCGGGAGGCTGAGGCAGGAGGATCGCTTGAACCCAGGAGTTGGAGGTTGCTGTGAGCGAGGCTGATGCCACGGCACTCACTCTAGCCTGAGCAACAGAGTAAGACCCTGTCTCAAAAAGAAAAGAAAAAAGGCCGGGCGCGGTGGCTCACGCCTGTAATCCTAGCTCTCTGGGAGGCCGAGGCGGGGATTGCTCAAGGTCAGGAGTTCGAAACCAGCCTGAGCAAGAGGGAGACCCTGTCTCTACTATAAACAGAAAGAAGTTAATTGGCCACTAATATATATAGAAAAATGAGCCGGGCATGGTGGGTGCATGCCTGTAGTCCCAGCTACTCGGGAGGCTGAGGCAGCAGAATCGCTTGAGCCCAGAGTGGAGTTGGAGGGTGCTGTGAGCGAGGCTGACACCATTGGCATCACTCTAGCCTGGGCAACAAAGTGAGACTCTGTCTCAAAAAAAAAAAGAAAAGAAAAAGCAGGCCAGAGGCCAAAGCCACTGCACCACAGCCCCGTCTCAGTCTGACTGGTGTTTTAATCTCCAGGAGGTGTTTATGTGGTCCCCCCTACCCCTACCACCTTTCACCTGAGGCAAAAATGAGAGCTGGAGGCCCTGGAGCTATGGGGACCCCGTAACTCCCTTAAGGGCTTCCAGGGGTCGTGCAGCCACCAGTCAGAACATCCAGCTGCCACCTCCCGTGTCCTACCGCCTGGGACCCCACCCATTGCACCCCGTGCTGGTGGGTGACCCAGGTCCTCCCTCGCTGAGCGCGTGCTCCTGGCAGCCCCGGCTCAGCACGGACGCTCTTTCTCCTCCCAGACGTCTCTGAACAAGCTCCTGGAGGCGCTGGGGCAGGCGGAGCCCTTCTTCATCCGCTGCATCCGCTCCAACGCCGAGAAGGTGAGTGGTTCTCTGACGTCCCCGGGGCGAGGCCCACGCCAGCCCTCCGGGGCGTTCCTGCATCCGGCAGGCTCCGCAGACGATGGGCCCACAGCCAACTGTGGGGGGGGGGGCCCAGGAAAGGCTCCAAGAACCCAGGCGTCACAGTGGGGAGGCCAGCGGGGGCGGTGACAGTGGCTCAGGTGGCCAGCCGAAAGCAGGGACGTCGCCTGGAACGTAGCCGGGCCCCAGAGAAGGTTGACCTGGAAGGGACAGCTCACAGGTGCTCTTCAGATACACCCCGAGAGCAGCCAGTGCGTAGAATGGACCAGAAGACAAGGGCAGAGGTCCTATAGCAGGCGAGTCTGGAAGGAGCACACAGCCCACTGCTTGTAGGGAAGTTTCTAGAAAGATTCTTGGAGCACCAGTGGGTTGAGCACTAGGGGCTCAGCCCCTGCTCAGCCCCAGAGGTCCACTGTGTCCCTGGGAGGGCAGCTTGGGGACTCTGCCGGGGGACAGCCAGGGATCTGGGGCCCCTCGTGGGCACGGGCGAGCACAGAAGCCTCCTGGAGACTGTCCCGGGAAACGCTCCGTTGGCGCCCACTGTGGGCTCGGCTGCACTAGATCATTCTCTGTGTCGGGGGCTGTCGGGTGTCAGGCAGCGTCCCTGGCTCCCTACCCCCAGTCATGACCACCCTCCCGGCGCTGTTGCCTCCTGTTTCCCCTTAAGTAGCAGCATCCGTCCTCCCTCCCTCACTGCCCGCCAGGGTGAATTCCAGACCGCTGGGCTGCCCCTGCCCGTCGCTTCCTCAGGACTTGGCCCAGCATCCCCCTCTCTCCTGAGACAGCTCCCACCGGGGCCCGGGCAGTGTCCACTTTGTCACACGTGTCTGACTGCCAGCCCTAGACCGAGGCCCCCGCCCCCGCCAGATCCCTGGCACTTACCCCACCGGGGCCCGGGCAGTGTCCACTTTGTCACACGTGTCTGACTGCCAGCCCTAGACCGAGGCCCCCGCCCCCGCCAGATCCCTGGCACTTACCCCGGCGCCCGGCACAGAGGACAAGCCCGGCACAGGTCTGCATTCGGGTCCTTTTTGTAGAACTCTTTGCAGCAAGAGGTAGCATCCTTCTCCGGGACACCAGGGAATAGAGCAGGTCAGACACCCGAGTCTTCTAGAAAAGCCAAACACCTTGGGCACTGCCACCGCGTGGTCCGTCTCCTCGTTCCAAGAGAGAACACTTGGAGCAAGGAAAGACCGATTCTGCAGGTGCTTCCGGCTGTTGCGCTGGGGGACGTTCGCAGGCCGGCCGGCTGGCCCACACACGCACCCCGGCCCTGTCTGTGTCCAGAGTCCCAGGCATCACGCCAGGGCCCCGCCCTGACGCCCCCGTGCCCGTTTCAGAAGGAGCTGTGCTTCGACGACGAGCTGGTGCTGCAGCAGCTGCGCTACACGGGCATGCTGGAGACCGTGCGCATCCGCAGGTCCGGCTACAGCGCCAAGTACACGTTCCAGGTAGGCCTCGGGCACGCGTGGGCGCCCGCCGCCCGAGACGTGGCAGGCGGCCGGCTCAGCCACCTCCCTCTTCCCGAGAGGCGGCCTCTTGGGAGCATATGGCCCCGGGGCTTCTCCCCGCAGCGCTGTTGGCGTTTGGATCATTCTCTGCCAGGGGCTCGAGTTTCCTCAGCAGAGGTGGCTGGCCCCCTGCCAGACCTGGAAAGATGCCAAGTGTCACATGCAGGCAGGTGGGGGGACAGGGAATTGCCAGAGCAGATACTTGACTGAGCCGCCCTTGTCGCCGCCGCTTTTATACCCAGCTCTCTTGCTCTGCAGCCACCGGCAAGAGGGTTCCTACTCGTGCTTCCCTCCCCCCCACCACACACACACACACAGAAACGAAGGCCCAGGGCAGGTGATGACTTCAGAGGTGGCTCCTTGGCTTTCTAGAAACATGAGGGACCATCAGTGACCAGAACTGGCGAAGATCAAATCCCTAGGGCAAAGGTTCTCCAAGGCAGCACCACTGATGTTTGGGGCAACGTCACTCTTGGCAGCGGGGCTGTCCATGTGTTGCAGGGTGTCGGGCAGCATCTCCGCCCTCCCCCCGCTGGGTGCTGGGAGCCCCCCAGGTCCCCCAGCTGTGAAAACCCAAGGTGGCTGCCGACAGCCCCCAGTATCCCCAGTGGTGAGCGCAGCCTGGTCGAGAACCCTCACGCCGCAAGCTGGCACCCGTGTCGCCCTGGGCCCAAAGCCAGGGGCGACAGCACCTTGTTCCCATTCTGCTTTACCCGTCGTCCTTGGGGACTGAGTCGCAGCACACCTCTGTGTGCTCATCTGCAGAATGGAAATAATGTCCTTCTCATCCTGTGCAGATGGGAACAGCAAAATTATTTTTTAAAAAATGGGGAAGTGCTGGGATGTTTTACCAACGCTTGGCCTTGAAACGTTTGAAATAACTGTTTGCCTAATAGGCATGCTCGCCCAGCTGTGAGCCCCACCCCGAGGGTGGCCCCGTCTCCCAGCCACCCAGACGGACCCCGGAAGATCCACATCTGCCATGGTCTTTCTTAAGATTCCAGGCCGGGTGCAGGGGCTCCCCCTGTAATCCCAGCACTCCAGGAGGCGGGGGCGGGAGGATCGCTTGAGCTCAGTAGTTGGAGGCTGCAGTGAGTGGTAATGACGCCATTGTACTCGTCCAGGCACCAGAGCGAGGCTCTGTCTCAAAAGAGAAAAGAGATTCAGACTGTTCCTGAAAGCCCAGAATTCTAGACTCATTAGTACTGTTCCCATCAAACCCAATTTCAGTTTGACCAGGAAATTGCCGGAGCCCCGTGTCCTGCCTCTGGCGGGAACGCTCACCCGCTCCTCCTCTCTCGGCCACAACCCCTAGGATTTCACGGAGCAGTTCCAGGTGCTGCTGCCCAAGAGCGCGCGGCCCTGCCGGGAGGCCATCTCCGCCTTGCTGGAGAAGATGGGCGTGGACAAGAGGAACTTCCAGATCGGGAAGACCAAGGTCAGCACTGCCGCTCCCCCCCCACCCCGGGGTTTGCAGACCCCACCCGCCTCTCGCCATGTGCAAGGTCCTCCCCGTCCCCAGAGGGACACACCACGCCCTGAAAAACAAGGGGCTCCACTGAGCAAATGCAGTCGGCAGCGCCCGCACTCGCCTTCTTTCCGGAAGGCACGGCGTGCACCTAAGGGGCAGGGGCTGCCTGGCTGCGTCCCCGCTTGCTGTCGAGCAGGGCTGGGAGACCTGAGCGTCACCCGTCTACCTCACAGGTAGAGCAGGGACACTCGTGCTGACCCGCTTGCCCTGGGGGTGGCCGGTCACGGTTGTAACGTCCGGCCTCCTCCGCTGGGCTCCCTTTCAGAAGTCGCCTCCGACCTCTGGGCGGGTGTCGGTTGCCTCTTGTTCTTGGCGCACCGCTCGGCTGCCCTTGTGTGTAAGACAAGTGCTGACGCCACCTTCCCACGAAGGCCTCACCTGATGCTAAACGTCCCCTTACAGTCGCTCAACAGGTCGATCGTGGAGTTACCATGTGGCCCAGCAGCTCTGCTCCCTGGGTACGTGCCCGAGAGAACCGAGGACAGGTGCTCCCGTGAGCGCTGTACACCAGCGTCCACAGCGGAAATACCCAGTGGCCAAAGCCCGCCGGTCAGTGGCCGGACAAGCAGAACGTGCTGTGTCCGTGCAGAGGACTAGCACTCAGCCTCAGAAAGGCAGGAGGCTCTGCCACCATGTGGGTGAACCTCGGAAACAGACATGACGCTGAACACCGAAATGCACGTGTTACCGACCCATTGATGTGAAATGTCCAGAACAGGGCCAGGTGTGGTGGCTCCACATGTAGTCCCGGCTACGTGGGAGGCTAGGCAGGAGGATCTCTTGAACCAAGGAGTTGGAGGCCACTGTGAGCTACAGTGAGACAACTGCACTCTACCCAGGGTGACGGAGTGAGACTGTGTGTCAACAACATAAAAACAAGGCCACTAAACACCCCTCCTCATAACTCCCTACCCTTTTAGGGAAAAAAAAATGTCCAGAACAGGCAAATCTGTAATGACAGGAAACAGATTGGTTGTCCAGGGCAGGGAGGGGATGAGTGGATGACTGATGGGATGGTGGTCTCCTTTTGGGGTGATGAGAATCGTCTGGAACTAGGTAGAGGAGGTGGCCACACAACACTGAATGTACTAGCCGGCGCGGTGGCTCACGCCTGTAAATCCTAGCACTCTGAGCGAGTGGGTGGATCGCTCAAGGTCAGGAGTTCAAGACCAGCCCGTGCAAGAGTGAGACCCCATCTCTCCTAAAAATAGAAAGAAATTAGCTGTACAACTAAAAATATATAGGAAAAAATTAGCCGGGCATGGTGCGCATGCCTGTAGTCCCAGCTATCGAGACTGAGCAGAGGATGGCTCAAGGCAGGAGTTGGATGTTGCTGTGAGCTAGGCTGAGCGCCACGGCATCTAGCCCAGCGCAACAGAGCGAGACTCTGTCTAAAAAAAAAAACACCGAATATGCTAAAAGCCACTGATTTTTTTCACTTTAAAGTGGTGAGTTGGATGTCACGCCAATTCTACCTCAGTCGTGTTGTCTTTCTCTACGAGGCCCGGTCAGCAGCCAGCACACCAGCCGGGTTTCACTCGTGGGGGTGACCGTGCAGACCCCCACGCAGGAGGTGCTGCGGGGGTGGCAGGGCTGACCCCGCGCCCGCGTCCCCGCCAGGTCTTCCTGAAGGAGACAGAGCGGCAGGCCCTGCAGGCGACGCTGCACCAGGAGGTCGTGCGGAAGATCCTGCTCCTGCAGAACTGGTTCCGGATGGCGCTGGAGCGGCGGCGCTTCCTGCAGATGAGGCGGGCGGCGGTCACCGTCCAGGCGCACTGGCGGTCCTACCGGGTCCGGCGGGCGCTGGAGAGGACGCAGGCGGCCGTGTACCTCCAGGCCGTGGTGCCGCAGCGCGGCTTACCGCCAAGCGGCTGGCCTAACCGGCGGCCGCAGAGACAGGGCATCATCCGCCTGCAGAGCCTCTGCCGGGGCCACCTTCCGCGCAGCGCAAGAGGTGAGCAGAGCCGGGTGACACTCCCCGGAACATTCCGGAAGTTCTGAAAGTTCACTCCCCAAAGAGCTGCCCAAGATAACCTTTCAGGGCAGGGCGCGGTGGCTCACGCCTGTCATCCCGGCACTCTGGGAGGCTGAGGCGGGTGGATCGCTCAAAGGCTGGGAGGTTCGAAACCAGCTGAGCAAGAGCGAGACCCGTCCTCTACTAAAAATAGAAAGAAATTAGCTGGACAACTAAAAATATGTAGAACAAATTAGCCAGGCATGGTGGCGCATGCCTAATAGTCCCAGCTACTCGGGAGGCTGAGGCAGGAGGATCACTTGAGCCTAGGAGTTGGAGGTTGCTGTGAGCTAAGCTGACGCCACGGCACTCACTCTAGCCTAGGCAAGAAAGCGAGACTCTGTCTCAAAAAAAAAAAAAAAAAGATACCTTGTGGCCCCTGAAACTATGGGGATGTCATTCTGGACACAAGAAGGGCTGTCTGGACACACACCGGCTCCGGAGAGATGCTCCAGGTACCGGCACTTAGTGTAGCCTCCAGTGTCTCCG